AGCAATTCAACAAGAAAAAGAAATAAAAGGGCTGGGCGTGATGGCTCATGCCTGTAATGCCAGCACTTTGGGAGGCTGAGGCGGGTGGATCACCTGAGGTCAGGAGTTTGAGACCATCCTGGCCAACATGGTGAAACCTCATCTCTACTAAAAATACAGAAATTAGCTGGGTGTGATGGTGTGTGTCTGTAATCCCAGCTACTTGGGAGACTGAGGCAGGAGAATCGCTTGAACCCGGGAGGCAGAGGTTTCAGTGAGCCGAGATCACACCATTGCACTCCAGCCTGGGTGACGCAGTGAGACTCCATCTCATAAATAAATAAATAAATAAATAAATAAATAAATGGCATCCACATTAGAAAGGAAGAAGTTAAACGATCTTTGTTTGCAGATGACGTGACTTGTATATAGATAAGCCTGGGGACGCCACTAAAGTGGAGTAATTAAAACATGGATTCTGAAGGCAGTCGAGTGCAGGAGACACTGTAAATGCAGTGGTCTGAGCGTGTGTGTGTGAGCTTTGTGGGAAGTGTTTCCCAGGCAAGTTGTTTTATCGGGGCCCACCTGGAGGATGTAAACGTTTCACCAGGAAATTGCCGAGTGGACAATTGGCAGAGGGCAAAGGTGGGCGTGTTAGCAGAGAAGGATGTGGAACTGCAGGGGAGTGGTGAGCACCTATGCCTACAGAGCGGGTTTATGCAGGGGCAGTGGTGGGAGGTGGACCGTGGAGGTGAGCGGGGTCCACAAGATGGAGCCCCTTGTAGGCCTTGCCCAGGAGCTTGGACTCCAGCCTTCAGGCGGGGGAGTGGGGGTGTCTCAGGGATCTTTATAGAAGTGCTGGGACAATTGCATGATCACGGATGGTGCCTTGGTGGCATCAGGGGCCCTGGAGTCTTACGTGTGCTCATTTGTCCTGGATGAAGTGGCAGGGTCTTAGCATGAGGTCCCCTTCCTTTCCAGGTTTCTGGGTGGAACGGACCCCTGTGCACGAGGCAGCCCAGCGGGGTGAGAGCCTGCAGCTGCAACAGCTGATCGAGAGTGGCGCCTGTGTGAACCAGGTCACTGTGGACTCCATCACGCCCCTGCACGCGGCCAGTCTGCAGGGCCAGGCGCGGTGCGTGCAGCTGCTGCTGGCGGCTGGGGCCCAGGTGAGTGGCCCATCAGGGCAGACCCCCAGCCTGGCTGCAGCTGCCAGAATGGAGAAGGTTGACTCAGGAGAACTTGGGAAAGAGGGGAGGGTGGGGGCTGCACTGTGTCCACTGCACACAGGTACCAGGAAGCCTATGGCTGAGAAGTGCTTGTGGACCTGGCTGTTAGGAGGTCACGGTGGTGGAAGAAAGGGCGACCTGAACAGATTGGTGGTGGGAGTGCCAGCCCTGTGGTGGGCAGGAGCCAGCAGGCTGGCCACAGTCTAGATGCAGGCTCTCTCAGGGGCGGCCAGGCCTGGGCACAGAGCTGCTGCTTGGGCCCAAAGAGCAGGGTTCTGACTTTAGGATGACTCGGTGGGATGCTGGCCCACCAGCTCTCCGAAAAAAGGAACGAAAACAAAACTCTGTATTGCTGCTTTCCCTGGTGTAAATGTTCCCACCCTGGCTAGTGTGAAGCCACTGGGGGTTTCTGGTCAGCAGAATTCCTGGCACATTGGCAGGCAGCTCTCCCGAGCTGGCAAACACTGGCCGGGCACACCCCTGGCCAATGTACTAGGGACACAAGGAACTGGTCTCAGAGTTCAAGGGGTGGGGAAAAAGGGAAGACGGTGTGCTGTTTATTCTTCCCAAAACCTTGGAATGGAACCCGTGTCAGTGTGTACCCGAACGGAATTTGAATTTGGACAAATGCTGAATAAAATTTCCCAGTTTGGGGAGTGGCCTTTTTCCCGGCCTGTGACTTTCTCACTAGGGGAGGGATGGTAAGCTGTCTCAGGCATTCCTTCCATTGAGGTAGAGGTTTTTGTTGTTTTCTGAGACAAGGTCTTACTCTGTCGCCTAGGCTGGAATGCAGTGACGTGCTGGAATGCAGTGATGTGATCATAGCTCACTGCAGCCTCGTCCTCCTCGACTCAAGTGATCCTTCCACCTCAGCCTCCCGGGTAGCTGGGACTATAGGTGCACGCCACCACACCCAGCTAATTTTTGTATTTTTTGTAGAGACAGGGTTTC